GCTGATGTTAAACTGATCTGTAGTTCCCAGGTTGGCATCTTGAACCTTTTTTGAATATTGGTACTACCGTAGCTTTACGCCAATCACATGCTACCCTTCCAGTCAGTATGGAGTCCTTGAAAATGAGGAATAACGGTCTCACTATAATCTGGCTGAACTCTTTAAGTACCCTTGGGTGAGGGTTATCTGGTCCTAACAATTTTTTCTAGTCTTTGTTGAACCCTGGCTACCGTCAACCACTGCGGTATGTTATGCACTAAGCTACTCACATTAATATTATTAAATCCATTAAACCCGTCTTTTTCTTGAGTGTATACTGAGGAGAAAAATGAATTTAATACATCAGTCTTCTCCCTGTCGTTTGTGATTAATCTCCCATTCTAATCATTTATTGGGCCTAACTGCTCTTTTATTACTGTTTATATATTGGAAGAATTGCTTGGGGTTCCTCTTACTGACTGTGGCAATGTGTGTTTTTCGCTATCTATTTTAGCTGCTCAGATTGCACTTTTACATCTCTTATTGCATTCGTTGTAGCTCTAGAATGCCAATGCAGTGCCCAACATGTTATATTATATTATATTAAATGCCAGCTTCTTTTCTTTGATATGTTGTCTTACCGTATTATTTAGCCATGCAGGCTTAGCTCTCGATGTTTTATTTTTGTTGCCCAATGGTATGCGCTTGCTAATGGCATTGTGCAATGTATTCTTAGAACAGTCCCACTTCTCGTCAGTGTTCATTGTTAGAAATAAGTTGTCCCATTTGTTGTCATACACTAGATGACACAGCTTATTGAAGTTTGCCTTTTTTAGCGTTCTTGTCCAACCAACATACTTCTCTTTCCTGTTCCCAACCCTGTGATCACTATTACCGAGTGTATCCCTAATCAATATTTCTGCAACTAGGTTTGCATTATTTGAAATTACAGTAATACCTTGGTTTACGAGCATAATTCGTTCCGGCAGCATGCTTGTAATCCAAAGCGCTTGTATATCAAAGCGAATTTCCCCATAGGAAATAATGGAAATTCAGATGATTCGTTCCACAACCCAAAAATATTCATATAAAATGATTACAATACTGTACTGTAATATAATACTGTACAAAATATAAATAAAAATAAACCAATTACAGTTACCTTTGTGGCCGGTGTGAGGGGGACAAGAGAGAGGAGGATTATTGTGTAGGACAACTTTCACTATCACTAACGGAATCACTGCTATCTCTTGACTCAATGGAATCTTTTTCATTTCGTGAAACCTTAACAAGGAATCTATTCAATGTGACATTGCATTGTCGTTAAACAGACTCATCGCTCGCACTGCTACAGCCTTATTCGGGTGGTGCTTTTCTACAAAATTTTGCTCTTATTGCAAGACATTTGCTTGTATATCAAGGCAACATTTTTCATAAATGTTTGCTTGTCTTGCAAAACGCTCTCAAACCAAGTTACTTGTAAACCAAGGTATTACTGTAATAGTGTTAGAATTGCATTCTTCCGGGTTGGGATATCAACCATCTGATCCATTAAATTGTCCAGCAACAGGTTTGGGAAACGGCCAGCCTTTGTTGAATGTGCGGTTCCATTTGGCCAATCAATGTCCAGATAATTGAAGTCACCTAACATTTCCCTGCTTACCAGCTATTTCTATTTGGGAATATAGGTGAGCCTCCTCCTCTTCCCTTATGTTCGGGGGTTTATAACACACGCCCACAATTAGTTTATAACAAACTTCAGTCTTATCTAGTTCTAGGCACAAAAACTAAACTCCATAGCAACTCTCTGTCGTGAGGTAATCTCGTATGTGCACAGTTAGATTATTTTTCACATACATACATACATACATACATACCCCTTCGCCGTTCTACCAACCCTGTGCCTCCTGAACAGGTGCTCGTACTGCACATGGGGAGGGGGGTGATTCACAGACAGTAACATAACTATAGGAGTGGCTGATTTTAACACTCCTGTAGTTATGTTACTGTCTGTGAATCACCCCCCTCCCCCTGTGCAGTACAAGCACTATGCTGTGAGGAATGTCGACCTGACTCATGTGACTGGAGGAATGTGAGATCGCACATTCCCCCGCAGTCACAAAGTCGGGTAGAACACCGGGTCCCCTAAGCTCCTCTGTGGCGTGGAAGGCTGTGTTCCTGAAGCGCCAGCCGGGTGGCGGAGAAGGCCGGGTCCCTGAAGCGTCATTCGAGCGGCGGAGAAGGCTGGGTCCCCAAAGTGTCGGTCTGGCGGGGGAGGAGGCCAGGTCCAGCTGCGGGAGGCTCAAGCTGACAGCAGATGTCGAAAGGAGGTAGGCTGGGGAGCTGCAGGTATGAGGATCACACTGTGCTGGTAAAAGGACCCTGCAGAGCCCAGCATAGATTTTGCACAGCCCGCCCAAGAGCCTCCGGTTGGCTCTGCGGGGTCTAAAGTGGGTTCTGCAGGGTCTCAGGGGGGCTGTGCAGGATCTGTGGTGGGGTCTCGGGGGCTGTGCAGGATCTGTGGTGGGCTGTCCGGGGTCTCAGGTTCTACAGGATCTATGGTGGACAGTGCGGGGTCTATGGTGGGCTCTGCAGGGTCTCAGGGGGGCTGTGCAGGATCTGTGGTGGGCTGTGCGGGGTCTCAGGTTCTACCGGATCTATGGTGGGCAGTGCGGGGTCTATGGTGGGCTCTGCAGGGTCTCAAGTGGGATTTGCAGCCTAAGACCCTGCAGAGCCCATCTAGGATCCTTCACAGCCCACCTGAGACCCAGCACAGCCCACCATAAGCTCTGCAAAGCCCACCATAGACTCTGCAGAGCCCACCATAGACCCTGCAGAGCCCACCACAGATTCTGCACAGCCCACCTGAGACCCTGCAGAGTCCACCACAGATCCTGCAAAGCCCACCTGAGACCCCAGCTTCCCTGCTACGCTAATAGCGGAACATGTCAAAAGCTGGATATAGCGTGTGCGCTGTATGCAGCGACTGACAGGTTATGCAAAAAGTCTTAAACAGGAAGGGGTGGGGCGAATTTAGTGTGTGTGTGTGGGGTGGGGTGCCTGAGTTTCATCTTGCCTAGGGCAGCCCCAAACCAAAATCCACCACTGGTATGGACACGGACTGAGTGATCGTTCTGCCTGGACCGTAATTCAGACCTCTGCTCAATTAAAATTTTACTCACCGAACCTTCTCGAATTTTAATTCACTGCCCTTGCCTTACAGGGTGGCTGAGAGGTTTAGGGCAATAAAAACACTTTTGATACCCAAATAATGCCAATTTTATACAGTTCTATTCATCAGACCACAAGTCGCAGATTTGGTTGCTATGCTCTTGTTCTCAGCAGTATCTCTCTCCCCAATAGCTCTTCTTGTTGCCAGAGTCAGAGGTGGGTACAAGTGTGCTAACAAGATAATTTTTGAATCAATCAGAATTGACCGCAATCAGAATTTTTGATTTAATTCTCATCTCTGCATTGCAAAAATGATAGCTGAAAACATATTTAGTTTTATAGGATAAATATGCTGGTACACTTTTCATACTTAAAGTGACACTAAACTCAGCAGTTAAACCTTAAAAACACATTCAAGTACGTTAACTATTAACAAAAATGTATCTTATTTGTGTATCACTCGTCTGTAGATCCTCAAATCATCCTCAAATCATCTCTGAATTCATACTGACACTGTCCTTCCTTCTGGAGGGTGGCTACTTTTGTTCCCTATGGTCCCTGTGTGTGTTGTAAAGTAGCCACCGCTCCAAGCTCACTCCTTTGATGGACTACAATCTCATGTTTAGTTAGTTCATTTGTAATGAAGTTATAGTCTTATCACAGGAGCAAGCTTGGAGTGTTGGCTACTTTACAACACACACAGGGACCATGGGGAACAAAAGTAGTCAACCTCCAGAAGGAAGGACAGTATGAATTCAGAGATGGTTTGAGGATCTACAGCCAAATGATACACAAATAAGTAGGGTTGTACAGATACCAAGTACAGTACTCGGTACAAGTACGAGTACATGTACCGATACTTTTGAGCTCCAAGACTAGACTAGAGAAAAATTCAAAAATTAGGAGGCAGCTGTCATTTGTAAGGAGCACACGGAGCTCCTGGAATTTGTACATCTCTGTTTTAATGTATGATTTTGTTTTTATAAATATAAATAAAGGGATGCACAGATACCAGTTTTGCGAGTACGAGTACTGGTACTTGCAGAGTACTTACAAGTACGAGTACTGATACATTTTTGTTTATTGTCATGTGACAGTTTTTCTAAAACAATGCAGACTAATGATTTCAGGACAGTTGTGGAGTGCCAGAGCCAGGTCCGAGCTGCAACCGCTGCAGCCCTGATAGTTCTCATGCAAATGACAAGTATCTGCACTGGTACTCGAAAAGTATCTGTGCATCCCTACAAATAAGATATATTTTTGTTAATAGTTAGGGTACATGAAAGTATTTTTAAGATTTAACTCCTGAGTTTAGTGTCACTTTAAGTTTTGGAGTGTGCAGGTCCCGGTTGTGTGTTAGCAGCTGGCACCTGTGTAATAAATTGATACAGAAGATTAAATAATTGAAATAACCATTTAAATGTGTATGTATAAATTCCTCATTACCCTTTGCAATATCTTCTACTCTGAAAAGGATGCTAGTTAATTTTATTAACTTTGCATGTATCTTTCCTTTATTTGTTTCTCTTCAAAAGATGTAAACTGGTTATCTCTTGTACAGGGTTAAACTTGTCTGGCATCAAGTAATAAATTCTAATTCTACAGTGCTTACAAAACCTGCCACCTCTTAATCTGATATGATTCCCAAGAGCATGGCTGCAATGATCTCTATTAAATTAATTCAATATATATTTCAGATGTTCACTGTAAAAGTCAATGGGTTAATAGGAAAATGTGAGTGTCAGGAAAAGGGGCCATATGTCTGCAAACAGTAAACATGAACACATCCTTTGATGGTGGAATAGGACTGACGTCTGTATAAACTGTAATATTTTAGGGGTGAGGTATAAAAAAGCATATCAGGACCACAGACAGTTCAGTAAAGAAGCATTCTCTACATCAGCACCATGGTGAGCTGTCGGCTACCTCTCTTCATTGTCTCTGTTTATCTTTTAATACTCCTTGTATATGCCGATGAGACCGTTGGGATCAGGTCTGCAGAGGCCTCTGATAACAACAGCCAGGAGGAAAAAGAACTGGTAAGGATGTTTCTTTTACCTGATTAAATCTTGACTGAAATACATTAGTGAAAATGAAGGTAGTTTTCAATTAAAGCCTATTTCCAGGAAAAGAAAAGAAAAACTCCCCTTGCAGTGTGGAGGCAGTCCACGCACTGCAAGGGTTGACTGCTTGTTTAGATCTAGGAGACCTGGGAAAAAATACCTTTACTTACCTGATCCCCGCTGTCTCCCAGACTGGCACATGCAGCCTCCCCCCCCCCCCCACACAAACGTCATCACGTGCAATGCAGGGCCCATACCCCCGCTTCGTATGTGAGGACTGTAAGAGACCATCCAGAAGCCAATGCGGTGGAGGGATGACGAGGGCGTTGACTGTTGAAATGTTGGAATATGCACCAGTTGAGTTGCTAGCTGGCATAAAGGTGCAGTGTCTGGGGTGTTGGGGTTCAGTGTCAGGGGTGCTGGAAGGCACGGAGATTCAGAGTCAGGGGTACAGAGGTAGGGGTGCTGGAGATGCCGGGAGATGCAATGTCAGGGAGCAGACTGCCAGGGGTGTTCTGAACTTCTTCAGATGCCAGATTGTAAAAACTCTTTACTTGTAAGCCTGTAGGGAGGCTTCTCTAAGTGCCACTCCATATGGTGTAGGCTCCTAGATCATATCCCTGATTTAAAGTAAATGCAAGGGGGTTTAGTTAGCATGAGGGAGAAGTCATTAGGATTAAGCTTTTTAAAAGTATAGTAAGCATTTAGGTCTCCTTCAGAGTCCATCTCCTATAAGTCCACTTGACTTTCAGTATTCTTCTTTTACAATAAGGGTAGGATAAGATGACATGTTTGTGCATGTAAAGCGTGTTTATAAATTCTGCGTTTAGTACTTACATGCGTACATAACATTTGTAATTTATAATAATAACTGTATTTGAATACCTGTACCTTGTAAGGCACTGGGGAATACACTGATGACATGTAAATGCAAACTGATGATGTCTGGCTAATGTACAGTACCTAGTAGCTGAACTAAAGTACATTGAGAGGATGGTAGCTGTGTTCCAAGCTTAATGGAAACCTATCATGAGAGAAACATGGACGCTATCATTGCTGATATTCTTCTAAAAGGGCTAGTTGACTGGTTGTCAAGTTGGTCCTCTGGCTTCAACACTTTGAGTCACCTGGAACAGTTATGCAGATACTGTAAATACCTCTGACCATTCTGTGATATTCCTGAGCTACATGTCCCAGGTTAGTGAAAATACTGAAAGCGCAAATACAACCTCCTATCCTTTATAGCCAAGAAAGGTGCCATCTTTGCCATTTGTATTGCAGTTGCCATGGTGCATCTGATCAGCTATGACACCAGCCATTTGAGGGCATGAAGGTTCAGTTGAGAGCAGAAATAAACACGCTGGCAACCTTGACAGTTGGAATCCCTTAAAAGTAACTGTTTTGGGAGACATTAAATTGGTGCGTAAAGTTCATCTTAAAGCCAGGGGTTCAGCATGAAAGGCAGGCAGCAACATTTTCAGAAGGAAGTCAGCAGTATAAACCCCATACAAACTACCGGTATCTATTCTTGAGAATTATTCAAAAAAAACACACACATTCTGCACATCTCTGGAATTACATGCACATTTTCCCTATGTTTTTGCAAGTGCCAGAAATATAGGGGTGATTTAATAAAACATTTGTGACTCTTTGGCACTATGGCCATATTAGAAAGTGTAATATAAATAAAAGCCGTGCAACACTTATTTCTGATGACAAATTCAGGTATTTCAGGTATTTCCCATGTGGGACACTGTTACATTCTGGCACAATGGCTGTGACAAATTCCTTAAGGAATACCACCATCTTGATGATGAGGAAAGTGGAGGTAAAAAAGACCTCTTCCATGTTGGCATAAACTGTGTCACACGTGTAAGTATTGTGTTGCAAACAAAACTGTGCCAGATGCAATCCTGCAAAGATTTATAGACACCTTTCCAACAGCTACATGAATGTGTCTCAAGTTGCGCCACTTGTTGCATGGACGGGAGACATGTTTCTTGTTTTCATGACACCCTTTGTGAATTCCAGACATATAGTGCTCCTGCCTTTCTCTTTGATGTGAAAGCACAGTAGGGAGCAATTCAGTATAGCATTTGTGACACTTTTCTAGTGGTAGGGTCTCTTTAAAAAGTCCAGCAACTAATTAATGAAAGTCGTGTGACAGATTTGTCAATATTTCTTATACAGATTCAGGTAATTCTTGTTTTGTTTGCTCCACTTTCACAATGTGTTGCTATGACTGCAAAACAATAAAAAAAAAACTAAAAAATGACTGACAGTTCATAGATCAGAAAACTGACGGAACGAAAATACGTTAACGGAATTTCGTATTTCCTGCCTGTATTGTAATGCAACCCTCAGCAGCAGAAGAGAAAACCTCTGATTGGTCAACCAAACGAAATATGAAATTCCGTTAACGGATTTTGTATTTCGGATAAAAAAAAAAAAACTACCATCAAGGCATCAACTCCAATATTAACAAAGGTATTTTGCTTTTTAACTTCATCATTGTCATGTTGTTCAACTTAATTTCCCAGGGGTAATATTAGTTCCCGTTTCAATGAAATTCGGATCCGAAATTCGTCAACGGAATTTCATATTTCGGATATAATTCGAAAACTGCAATTCGGATTTCGGATGCTTCAGAATTTACGAATTTCAGTAAATTCGTACGAATTTCGATTCGTAACAAAACGAATCGCACATGTCTAGTACGAACTAAGAGGACTAGTATATGAACTAAGATGACCAGTACAGAACTAAAATGACTAGTATGCACTAAGAGGACCAGTACGGACTAAAATGACCAGCGAGGACTAAAATGACCAGTACAGACTAAAAAGGACCAGTACGAACTAAAATAACCACAAAAAAACCTCCCCCAAAAATGTATTCATTTAACTTTTAATTAAAGAACCCCATCCGAATTGATCTGAACTGAAAAAGAAAAATTTGTATCGATCCGAATTCTGATTAACATACCAAATCGAATTTCGGATCTGTAATTCGAAAACAAAAATTAGAATCGGTCCGAAACAAAATGTTTCCTAGAAACCAATGCCACTGTGCAGCCAACACCATCCTAGAAACGGCCTGGTGGCTAAACATGCAACTGAGGATGCAGTGTTCACTATAGATTGTCCAGCCTCAGTGACTTCCCTCACCATACCTCCATGCGACAAAATCATGTACATGTTTCTGGCAGCTGCATAAACCGGTCATAAACTTTAGTTTTTTTTCTATGGCACACTTGCCACTATGAATTCAAGGGTGTGTATTTTTTTACTCTTGACCAGGGGCGGAACTACTGCCGGTACAGCCGGTGCTGCTGCACCGGTGCCTGATGCTGCTGCACCGGTGCCTGATGCTGTGGGGAGCGGCCACTGACCATCCGTCTGGCCACACGGAAGTGAGGCAGAGCAGCCTTCAAGCACACTGTGAGGCAGCACTGGGGCCTTGGCCGGGAGGACCCAGCGAGCAGCTTGCTGATTACACAGCCCGCTGCTTCTCTCAGCTACACAATGTTTCCTCCGCGAGGAGGGGGAGATGAGGTGACTGCTTTAATCTTCTCTATGTGCCTGTTCTGTGCCATGTTTTGTAGTCCTCTATGGAGTTATTCCGCATTTCTGTATAAAGTATTGCTGAAAGTTGTAGTCCCCAATAGCTGTTACCATTGTGCGTTTCTGTATAAAGTATTGGTGGAAGTTGTAGTCACCTATAGCTGTTACCATTCTGCATTTCTGTAGAGAGTATTGCTGGAAGTTGTAGTCCCCTATAGCTGTTACCGTTCTGCATTTATGTAGAGAGTAATGCTGGTAGTTGTAGACCCCTATAGCCATTACCATTCTGCGTTTCTGTGGAGAGTATTGCTGGAAGTTGTATTTCTCTATAGCCATTACCATTCTGCGTTTCTGTAGAGAGTATTGCTGGACGTTGTATTTCTCTATAGCCATTACCATTCTGTGTTTCTGTAGAGAGTATTGCTGGAAGCTGTATTTCTCTTAGCCGTTACCATTCTGCGCTTCTGTAGAGAGTTTTGCTGGAAGTTGTAGTCGCCTATAGCCGTTACCATTCCGCGTTTCTATAGAGAGTTATGCGGGAAGTTGTAGTCCCTGCCATCTAAATTAGAACCCCACCTGGAGCTCGTCCCACTGGACCAGCGCTGACTGGCCGCTGCTGGGTTTTTTTTCTTCTTACTTACCTCGCCGATCGCCCACAGGAGCAGCAGTGACGCGACGCTCGGCGAGGTAAGTAAGAAGAAAAAAAAAACATAGTGCAAGCTTCGGCGCTAGGCATCGGGGCATTTTGACAAGTACAAGTACTTGTCAAAATGCCCTGTATCAGGCCCGATTCCGATGCTAGCATCGGTATCGGGACATCCCTAGCCATTACCATTCTGCGTTTCTGTAGAGAGTATTGCTGGAAGTTGTATTTCTCTATAGCCATTACCATTCTGTGTTTCTGTAGAGTGTATTGCACCATTCTGCGTTTCTGTAATACTATAGCTGTTACCATTCTGCGTTTCTGTAATACTCTCGTATTGCTAGGTGTTGTAGTTCTCTATAGCTGTTACCATTTTGCGTTCCTGTAGAGAGTATTGCTGGGAGTTGTAGTTCTCTATACTTGTTACCATTCTGCATTTCTGTAGAGCGTATTGCTGGGAGTTGTAGTTCTCTATACAGAAATGCTGCAAAATGGTAACGGCTATAAGTGAGCAGGGCTGGCATTGTAAGAGCCGAAGGGGGGGGGGCAATAGAAAATCTTGCACCAGGGCCCCATGTTCCATAGATCCATCACTGCTCTTGACACTTTATGAATTCAAAAGCACATAGTGTCAGCCTTGTCTACTTCTTTTCTGTTGACTTAAGGTGCCCATACACCTGCCGATTATCGTACGATAATCATGGGTGATCCCGCAATCGTACGATAATCGGCAGGTGTATGGAAGGCGTGTGACCGTTTCTACTGTACGGTCGCACGTCTTTTGTCTTCGGAGCACACTTGAAAACCTGCCGAAAATTGTAAGATTGTCGGCGGGTTAGTGGCATGCTCAGAAGACAAATGCCGAACGGGCTGGTGTGCGCAAGCCCGCTTAGCACTGCAATCATCGGAATCCCTCCCCTCAGCGGGGAGGGCTTGCAATGATTGCGAGTACGATCGGTCTGTCCAAGATATGCAGATCGTATGAGATTTTAATTACCTTACAACCATCGCACAACGAAAGTCGTGCGATGGTTGTAAGATGTATGACCAGCTTTACAAAGAACACAGACCTCTCCTCATCTCCTTCCCACCTCCTCATCTCCATAAATCCTCCTTGTGCACAGAAAGACATCAGCTGACAAGATTTCTAAATCAACAGGTATTTTTTGCACTTATAAAACAGATAAGAAAACACTTTCCTGGTCTAGTGAAAAGGAGTAAATCACAATTTAAAGGGAATCAATATTGCATTTTGTGCCTAAAATGGAACTAAACTTAAAAAAAAAAAAAATTGCAAGCAAGCAGGCACTTTAATCAATGTGAGCTGATTTCCACTTTTACATTCCTTGTTTAAAATGCACAGCATTTTTTAGAGAGATTCTTCGCTTCAGTTTGCAAACTTCAACACTTACTAGTAATACTAAGAACTGTCTCACCCTCTATTGCGTCCCACACCTTTGTAATGACTAGCAATGCTACTCATCATAAGGATGTACCCATTGAAAGGTGTAGGAGGAGATGGGTCAGCTCTCAACAAGAGGCATTACGGTTTGCAGTCAGAGGGGTCTATTCACTAAGCTGCCGAGGGCAGCCGAGTGAATGACCGATCTGAAGTGAAGTGAGCCGAACACTGTTCGGCTATCCACTTCAGGCTGGTACGGCTGATTTCAGCCGTACATCGGCTTGCTTCGAGTGGCTTCGGGTCGGCCGAACATGCCCAGCATGTTTGGCCGACCCGAAGTGCAGAAGGAGTTCGACTCAGCCGATCCAACATCTGGTTTCTCACTGCTGTTCGGGCTATTCTTAAATATGCCGCTCAGCGGGAATTCGGCTTGGCTGTTCTGCTCGGTCCCTCAGAGGGACCACCAATGCTTTTCAAAGGGAAATTTTTTTTTTTTTCTTTCTATTCTGACATCGATCGTGTCAGAATAAAGAAAAAAAGACACAGCAGTGTTTCTCTCCTTGGCGGCCGGGAGCAGGAGACTCCCGGGCCGCCAGGGAGAGTTAGATGTTTGGAGATCAGTGTCCCTGGTTAGCAGGTAACCAGGGATGCTGATCTCTCTGAAAGTGGCCGGAGCCAGCCGTAAGATCACGGCTGGCTCCGCCCAGCTGCCAGAAGCAGGCTTTCAGCACGGATCAGCCCAGCCGATGCATATGCGTTCGGCTCGGCTGAGCCGCTCGGCCACAATCGGGAGCTGTACGGGCTATTGTGAATAGCCCGTACAGCACCCCTTCGGTTCTAATGAACCGAAGGGGTCCTGGGGCCGAAGCTAGCCGAAGGATCGGCCGAAGCTATGGCCAGATCCTTCAGCAGCTTCGTGAATAGACCCCAGAGTGTCCTAGGAACCGAGAATTCTACTAGATAGTAAGCTCTCACGAGCAGGGTCCTCCTACCTCTTGTACTAAAATTGTATCGTTTTTTTTTCTTTTTTTTGTCTGTTCGATGATGGCCGGTGCCTCACGATGTGCCTCGCTGGTGAGGTCGTAGTTGGCGCTGTGTATTGTCTCCCTCAGTTTTGTAAAGCGCTGTGCAGACTGTTGGTGCTATATAAATCCCGTATAATACTAATAATTCCAAGACACTTAAAAATACTTTTTATTGATTATATCGATTGTGATCTCCCTGGCATCCTTTCTGGAGTGAACTTAATGCAGATCCGTACACTTTATTATTCAATTTCAGATATTCCAGACCTCTAATGGTCTTACTTACACAAAAAAAAATTACATGAGTATGCCATGAGTGTTTATAATATCTCTGTTTAATCAATGCAATATTAATCTTTTACTAAACTTAATTCCATTAATGTTGTATATTTTACATAGATAGAAGCTTTACAAGACGTCCTGGAAAAACTCAAAAGTAAAAGAATCCTTCCTCTGGACAAAAAGCTGGGATGGGTGCCTTCGGTAAGGAAAAGCCTAGTGGAGAATGCGGGTGTGGCTAAGCACAAGAAACACATAAAACAAATATTTTCACTGATTATACTTTTTTCCTATATTTTGTTTTACATTTTCTACTCCATTTTTATAGTCAATACAGGTTTTTTAAATAGTAAAATCATACTAAATGTGTGTATATCTGAATATTATTTCCTGTTTATACTGTATAAGGCCAGAATGTTCTTCAATGCTTTACAATGTGAGTAAATCACAAATAAAACATATCCAGAATAAGATAATAAGTAATGAAACAAAGGCACAATGGTTCTACCCGCAAGCAAAAAGCCACTTAAAGAAATGGAACAAGCAAGATATGAGGAACTTATCTGTACAAACAAGCTGCCATTATCTAATTGAAGCACATAATTATTTTATATTAATGCTGAATGAACCAGTCAGCCAGCTAGACTATAAAATGACATCAAAAAGTGCACATGGGGCACATTTTGATGAAAGGGACATTGACGGAATTAGGTAACCGAAAGCAGAGAAATGCATTTGTATCCATCCTTAAAGATATGTAGTTTAAAAACATGCTTAAAACTTTGAACAGCTAAATAATTTGGGATAGTGAACCCCAAGGATCAGATGCTGGAGATAAAAAAGCTGTAATCTATTATTAAAATGGAAGGTGCAGGTGGGGTGGTAGGTGGTAGATCAAAGATCTTAGATGGACCTGCATTCAGGAAAGGCTTTGTATTAAGAGTCAGCTTTTTAATGTAGTTATCTAAAAAGAGAAAGTGTTTACACTTTTATGGGCACTTGGCAGACCATTCTGACACCTGTCAAGTGCCTCACAGACCACTGGTCTAAAATTGTGCACTGAGCCAAACAGATGTGGGCAAGGTGTTGTGTCAAAATTCCGGCCATGGCGCCAACTGTTTTCTATGGCTTTCCCCAACTAGCCCCCTTCCTGTAGTGCAATCCAGATGCAGATGGAATGCTGCCCTTGCAACACACTGTGTTGGATGCTTTTCAGTCTCAGTCACAGTGATATGGTTAGCGCAGCTGTCTTTAAGATGGACTTACAGTGCATCTCCAGCCTCAGCATTTGTTTTTGACCGATTGAGAAAGGGATACAATCCTTGTAAGGTTATTTGTGGACTTTCCACTAACTTGCTGCTAAGCAACACCTTACTTGTTGTAGGTGTGTCTTACAACTGCAACATAGGTACTGACGCATGTACTGTGTTTCTTTACAGTTAAAAAAAACTGCTCATAAATCACACCCCAGATACCAGACTCCAACGAATACTGCACTCCTCTTCTGCACATTCTGCCTGCTGTCATACCTTTTGTACTCCTTTCCTGTACATACTGTCCTCCATCGTACCCTCTGCACTCTTCTACACAAATTGCACCCTCTCATACCCTTTGCAATGCTCTCCTGCATATACTGCCCCCTCTAATATTAACCACCCTCCTCTCCTGCACATACTGCCTTTCAGAGGCGTAACTAGAAACCTCAGGGACCCGGTTACTATATCCTCAATTATGAATGAATGGGAAGTAATCTACATCACTTCGTGTTCATTCATGATTGTGGTTATAGTAATCATACTCAATGTCCTCATGTTATGAATGGACAGGAACACTCAGTATAGAGGATTCCTGTTCATTGATAGCAGGGGATACAGAAAAAGAGATTGACGGCTCTGTGCACCTCTAATTTAAAAAAAAACTTTTATCACTTTTTTTCTTTTATACATTTTTTATTTATTTTTTTATTTTACTCGCTTTTACTTTTTATAATTTTCATTATTATTTTTTCATAAATGTTTATTTGATAATTTATCAATTTTTTTTCACTTAACTTTATTGCTATCACACAAGAGCTAACAAGCCCCATGTGTAAAAAAGTTGCGCGACAGTCACGCGTTTCCGAAGGCTACTTGGCTGTATCCCAATGGAAACGCGCAACAAAACGGCCCAAAGTAGTACTTGTACCTTTTCAGGCGTGGGCTGTTTTGTAGCGCGTTAGGGACGGGCGGAAATACGCCAAGGTGGGAACGAGACCATTGAATACAATGAGATTTATATTTTTGAGCGTTTTGTAGAGCGTTTGTCGAGCGTAGAACGCGCTACAAAACGTTCAGGTGTGAACGAGGGCTTACTGCCACAGTGAAAGAACCCCTTTCTAAAACAACCAAAAAGACCTAGCCAAACTGGATTTTTTTAGCAGAAGACTAGTAAAGTCCCGGTCACCGATCTCCTCTGCAGAGAAGAAATCTGCAAGTGGTCAGCAGTTCAAGCCATGGCTGTCAATCGTTTTCTATGGCTTTTCCCAGCAAGCCTCCCTCCTGTAGTGTAATCCAGATGAGGACAGAATGCTGCCTTTGTGGCACACTGTGTTGGATGCTTTTCTGTCTCAATCACAGCAATAAACCCTTTCACATACCTTTAGTCTCAGGCCCAAGTCTGCTGCAGAATGGGAATCTCTGTTCCAAAAAACAAAATTATATATGTAGAGAAAAATATGTGTATATATATATACATATATATATATATATATGTATATATATATACACATATATATACTAGTCTATGTAAAAGTAAGATTTTGGGTTGGAATAGACTAAACAAAAAGTGATGTATAGCATTATTTAATATTTTTTCATCAAGAAACTCTTTTAATGTTGCACTTTGTGTTGCAGTTGTTCAGCATTGTTGGAAGTTGTGTGTTTAAATGTATGAATGTCTTTTATGTCCCTTTAGTGTGATGCAGGTGAACAGTGTGCAGTAAGAAAAGGTGCGCGGATTGGAAAGCTCTGCAACTGCCCAAGGGGAACCACTTGTAACTTCTATATTCTCAAATGTTTGTAAACAAAGGTGCATTTGACAAAGTGACATGCAAAACTGGAGGAGAGAATTATTCTGGCAAGCAAGAGACGACTTGATCTGTTATGTGTTCCTGTTTTTACTTCATCTTTTTATGTGTTCCACCGAAGATGACAAATGCAAGATAACCCATTTAGCAACAGCATGTTTTCAGTTTACACGCAACAAATACAAACCTAATAGACTAAGCATTGATGTGGAACTCCAGTTTTGTTGAAACGCAAGCATTCTGGCAAACATAGGTTCTTACCTCTGTCCTTTAAATAGTGAGCTTGGCCATTCCATTGCACTTGCTCAAATATAATGCTAATTGGGAGGTTCTGCCTTTACATCCTTGTCATACTTTTAGACATATCACTTCTGAGCCAAAAAAAACGAAAACACAAAGAACAGGGACTTTGACCCATTTGCAGGAGCAAGTGAATGGGAATTCTGGGACAAAGTACTTTTGTTGCAATGGTTGCAAGGAAAATACATTTGTTTTACAAAACCCTGGTGAATGGAAAATTACATTGAATAACATTCACTTACAAAATGGCTTGTGCAGCAATTATGTTCTACTAATTCACAAAACTGGAGTTTTCCTTTAAAGACTTGAAGAAATACTTTTCTCTTCTCTGCAGTGAGTTCTGTCCTATTATACTGCTTTTCAATGTACTGTACATCTCTGTATTGTGCACTTTTTCTGCACTATTGTGTGTTTTTACTGGAATGTGAAGCTGCCCATAGATGCACAATGTTTGCGTTTTCCTTCTACACCTTTTTAAAATAAAAGTAAGTGCAACATTTCAGGGTCATTTCATTTCTTCAAAAAAGAGTCTTGAACAGTTCAGATCCACCTACTCTCTGCAAAGAACATTGATTACAAGTACAGGAATGTGCCTTTTACATGGATAATGCACACACACACACACACACACACACACACACACACGCACACACACACACAAAAGCTCTTATGTTGTAGTAAAATAATACACAGTAGAAGCTGTAGCTTCAGAACCACCAGGCAAAACATTAAGGGAGAACTATGGGGTCAGTGTTTTTCCCCATAGTTCTCCTAAGGGTCACGGGAGGACACAAACTAGCGTCCTCCTGTGACCCTAAGCTCAGTATACCGCGAGCTACAGTTACATTACTGTCGAGATCCATCCAGCTGTACCCGCCCCCTCCCCCGTCCGTTCCACCAGACAGCGCTGGAGGATCGGACAGGGGAGGGGGGGAATCCCTGCAGGGAGCCGTGAGTCACACTCACATCTCTCTGCAGGGACAGGATCGAGAAGTGAGCAAGCGACGCTATGTGTTTGCTCACTTCCCGATCTATTGAGCCGACCTGTGACAGTGTCATTGTCACACGTCGGCTCGAACTATGAGGCTGAGTGATTTTCACTCACCTCATAGTTCTCCTTTAAGGGATCTATTTATAAAAGAAAAATTCTATAGCTTGTTCGTCCAGCAAAACTGCAGGTACATTTGTTCTCTGTGAGTTAATTAGGTGTTGTGAGAATGGGGCAAAAATGAATGTTCTTAGTGTCATTCTTCTTCTGGTCGAATGTTCTTAAAAAAGTTTATTCATACAGAACAGAATGAATGTGGAAAATAAAACATTATGGCCACTAGATGGAGCTGAGGAATATAGGAAAAAATACTTGGCATGAGCATATAAATGTAACCATTGATACTACAGGGATAGCAATGGTCTCATTTATATACTCAGGCTCTCCAGCATTCTCTTGAATTGTATCTCCTTACTAAGATGTATTACAGGCAGTCCCCGAGTTACAAACATCTGACTTACATACGACCTCTACTTACAAACGGAGGCTATTACTGTACAGCAGGGGGTCCCAGGCTGCAGCCAAAGTGTACCACACAGCATTTCAGTCGTTGTAATGCTACCGCGCTCGTGCCCCTTTTTGGGTCTGGTTTTTTTAGTACTGTACGCACATTACAGGAAGTTGGCTCTTGTTAATCGTGCAGACGAGGGGTGCCCGCCTCTTCTTCCAGGTCACTGCGAGGTTTTTACTGCTGTCTGTATCCTTATTAGGAAGATTTAATCTCACTTCCTGTCCGTGAGACAACAGGAAGTGAGAGGAAATCTACCCCTAGGATGGGAAATTCACTCCTGTGACAGTGATCATGGGAAAAAAGGTGTCTCCACTGAAGCTTTATCACCAATCCTTGTTTCCAATTTTCAAAATCCAATGGTCACAGGGACAGAAAGTGAGGTGAAATCTTCTGAACAGGGTTACATACAGCAAAACAAATGTTACAGGGGGTTAACCCTTCCCTATGCTATTCAGAACTAAAAAAAAATGTTTAGGGCTGGAGTTACACTTAAAAAATGTACCCGTTCCGACTTACATACAAATTCAAATTAAGAACATACCTACAGACTCTATCTTGTTCGTAACCCGGGGACTGCCTGTAAAAAGCACAGCTGTCGGCTGCTATTCGCATTAGGGTTGCCACCTGTCCAGGATTCACCCGGACAGTTTGGGTTTTGAATGCTGTGTTCGGGTTTCATGGCAGCAGAAACCCGGACACAAGATGTCAGGCAGACAGGGGCAACCAAAATTAAGATAGCGGCTACTGGCCCCCCCACTGAAAATAGTCTCAACTGTGATATTTACATATGAATGGCTGGCAGTATTTACATATGAATAAGCCGCGACTCGTTCTCCCAAAAATGTCCGTGTGTCGCTAGAGTGTTCGGGTTTCGCTTGAAGAAAAGGTGGCAACCCTAATTCGCATGTATCCACACATCCACCGGTTGCCTACAGCTAGGCCCAGATAACGGTTAAGGACAGAGGACAGACTGTGTCCAGGGCTGCTTATCTGTCAGGTAACCTCTGGATGTGCGGATACATGACAATATCCATATGCATAATTTCAGCCACAGGAATCTGCTGCTGACCCTAAAGAGCCAAAGAATAACAAAGGAGCCTCAGGTTGCAATTTGCTAAATATAACACCTCATGTTTGAACACTTGAGCTAACCTTGAAAAAACTCAAGCACCTAAAGGTTCATCTTTTATAGCCAGGGATCAGTTAATCCCACTAGAACAAGCCAAATGCTTGCCGATTTAAAAACAAATTCACCACAAATCACATCAGCATGCAGCTCGGCATTCCAATATGAAATCATTTTACATTCATTAGTTAAACAAACATTTTGTTGTTTTTACTTACGATGAGGGTTTTGGCATTTCCTAGTTCAGTAAGGCACTGGTGATGTAGCCCTGGTCTACAGATGCATCCTTGGAAGGTTACATCAGCAGTGCCTTCCTAGGAAATCTCATCTATAAACTGCAAAATCTCACAAGATCTCAGGAGAAAGGCATATTTCCTCCCTGAGATGATGTGCCCTGACACATGTTCCAGGAGGCAACTCCAGAGTTCCAGGAAGTGACGGGAGAGGGATTCATCTGCTTCTAGTAAAAATGGGCACCGTGAGAAGAATGGGGATAAAAAGATAAGTAAGGTATGCAAAGAATACAAAGCTGCAATTATCTAAATGTATGTTTGTAGATTGTCATTACTAAACATTTCTAAAAGAATCCTTTGCTGTCATTTTAAAGATAAGGATAACGTTCCTCAAGTTGAACTACTCCCTCCTATTCCTTACAGCCAAGGAAGGTGCCATCTTAGACCCCATTCACACTGAGCGACATGGAAATCGCGCGACTTTGAGCGACATTGAGCGACGAGCGACATTGAGCGACGTGTCGCGCGACATCGCGCAACATCTTCCTATTGGGCTGTATGCAATCAGGAGCAATATCGCTCAAAATCGCTCTAAAAAAGGGTCATGTAGGAGCGACAAGCTACCAGCGACGAGCTACAAGCGATATTGAGCGATATTGAGCGACATTGAGCGACGAGATGTGAACAGCTACATTGAAATGTATTGGTGAAGCTACATAGAGCGATATAGCGCGGAAATATGAGCGATATCGCTGCAAAAATGTGAATGGGGCCTTTGTCTCTATTTCAGGGGTGGTGACCTTCCAGCTGTTGTGTAACCTCAAGTCCCATGAGGCATTGCAAGACTGACGGTTACAGGCATGACTCCCAAAGGCAGAGACATGATGGAATTTGTAGTTAAAGCACAGCTGGAGCACCGCTTGGTTGCCCACCCCTGCTATATTTGGATTGCAGTTGCCATGGTGCTGCACATGTGATCAGCTATGACGCCATTTGAGGACTTCTGAGTTTGGTTGAGAGCTGAAAGAAGCATACTGCAAACCTTGACAGTTGCCATTCCTAAAAAGTAGCGGTTTTGGGAGACCATTAAATTGGAGAGATGTACCGATACCGGTTTTTCGGTATCGAGTATGAGTACTAAGATTTATATTTTGGTACTTGCCGATACCAAGTACTGATACTTCCTCTTGCATGAAGCCGACTTCCTGAGCATTCAGGAAGCCGAGCGGTGGGTAATGACCCGCCTCCTGGCTTCTTGATTGTTCGGGAAGCCGGCTGCATGCTGTTTGATTGGCTCGATGTTGATTGAAGCCGGCTTCCCAGCCAATCAGTATCAAGCCAGCCAAACAGCATGGAGCCTGCTTTGCGGCCAATCAGGTAGCCAGACGGGCGAGTCTTTACCCACCGCCCGGCTTCCTGATTGGCCGGGAAGCAAGCTCCATGTTCCCTCGCGGCACTGCTGGTTAGAGGAAATCTCCCTCTGACTCGAAGATCCGGTATCGGAGGAAATCTCCCTCTGACTCGAAGATCCGGTATCAGAGGTAAGTATTGGAGCATTTGGAGGAGTACAAGTACTCACCAAAATACTTTATATCGGCACCGATACTAGTATCGGTATATCCCAAGTTATAACCCTCCCTTACCCTATCCAAAACTAAAAAATATTTGGCTTCATTTCTTCTATAAGCCACACCCACTTATGCAAAACCAGACCTGCTTTAGTTTCAGGCTCCCCAAAAAATCCCTGCTCTGTATAAATAATGCAATTCCTAATTGTCTAATTGACGCCTGCAGGCGGCCATCTTGGTGATGGACGCCGGCAAAGAGGAGGGGATGTTCACCCAGCGGGATGAGGTATGATGCCAGGTCCCCTCTTCTCTCCTGACAGTGTCAGGCTCTCAGTCAATGACCGAGTGCCCAACATATCAGAGGTGGTGACACCAAAATGACTGTCAGTCATTTTGATGTCACCCCTCCAATGGTGGCACCCGGGTGCGGGTCGCACCCCCCTTGTGACGCCTCTGCTCACATACTAGAGTTATCGCCACATATCCTGCTTTAGAAATGAGCACAAACATTGTAACCGCAATAATCTTTTATTGTACAAGTTTACGATGCAGTTGGAAGATTACTACTGCTATGTGGAGCTGAAATGCTACGTCTTTTCACACACAC